CAGTGACAAGACGAGCAGCGATGTTCATCAATAGCTGCAGCTTTCTAATTGATGTTAATGGTATTCCGTAAAGGACTCCATTACAATAATCCAATCTTGATGTAACCAATGCATGTACAAGTTTTGATTAATCTATACAAACTATTTTGATACTGTTCCTGTTCTTAGTAAACTTTCTATTAATGTAAGACATGTAGATAGACTTGATTTTCATCATTTATCGGGACGTACAGATTCATATAATAATGCTATTATTGCTTTTCCCATAATTTGGTCAACTTTACCTATTTCACTTAAGGATTCTTTTATCAATGATTCTTTTAAAATGTTTAAATTTAATTTGCGATCTCATTTTTTGCAAAATTCAATAGAATAGTAATTGTACAAAAACATGTTAAGTAAAATTAATTAATATTTTTATAATTGATAATGTAATATTAAATTAAATTTGAAATTAAATGAAATGCAATGTGAAATGAAAGTGAATTTTGAATTTAAATGATGATGTGCAATCTTTTCAGAAATTATTTTTATAATTAATAATTTAATAATAATCTAAATTATTTAAGTGGAATTAAATGATAATATAAATGATTAATGTACTGTAGTATTACAGTATAAATTATGTGATATAATGCAAAAGTGAAATATATTTTTTATAATTTTTTTATTTATATTTGTAAAATTATTATTGTTTATTTTTGTTATTGGTATGTTCCTGCTTAATTAATAAACATTTGTAAATTCTAGTTTGTACAGGCACATCTTTTGATGACAGTGTTTTCACTTTTGCCTGTCCTGGTATCTCAAGAATTGATCATGTTTTGTTGTTTTTGTTGAAAATTTGTTTAAAATTGTGGTAGGCATTTGTTTTTGTAATTGTATGTTTATATATATATATTGATACCGAATAAAAAATGATAATAATAATAATAATAATAATAATAATAATGTGTTTGTGGTTTTTTTTTCTCGTTAATACTAAATTAAATAAAATCAATTGTACTATTATACCATCAGGAGGCTGGGAGTGACTCATGATCTTACTCGAATTTGGTGTTGAGTTGTTAAATAAAAGAGTACATTTATCAAATTTTTATATTATTTTAATTTTACTGATCTGATTTTAAAATTCTGTAATACTGTATATTTAACCAGTTTTAACTAGAATAGGTACAATTTTAGGTTGTAGTATTGCAATTTTAAGCTAAGTGTTCTTGTTGAATAGATAAAATAGGTTCAGAGTTTAATAGTAGACTTACAGTATGTGAATAGTCCAGATACCTTTCCTAGTAATCACCGATGAAAGATGGTAACCAAGAGCAATCTGGATGAGTACATTTAGAAATTAGATATAGTATACAAGCCTTGATTTTGTGTTGCTAATTTGATTTTCGTATAATTGGGAAGTCTGCTTTCATTAAATCAAAGTGTACTGTACTTCTCATGAGATGTTGCTATGAAAGGCAAAAAAATATGTCCGTCAATGAGTCACGATTGGCAATATGTGGAATCGCAGTACAGTAACATCTCCCAATTACGAACCTCCCAATTACGAACTCTTGATTTTACGAACACAATTTGCGATGATCATTTTTAACTACAAAAACACTTAAAATTCTATTTGAAAGTCTTCAAAAATAATATAAAATGTTATATCAGCTAAGAAAGAAAACATTAAAACCAATAAAGCGACATAAAACTAAGTTTGAAGCAAGAAATATTGATCGTTTTCAGCCGAGATTTTGGAAAACAGATAAACGAACCACGCTACTGTAGGTACTACTGCATAAATGACAATACAACCAATTGCAGCGGGCATTTGCCCATACTGCATATCGTCTGTTTATGCTCGACACGAGGAGTCTGTGATCTTTTTCCTTCCATTACTCTCTGCTATTACAATTTCTCAGAATTTATACTTTGATGAGACACATTGTTTGTATTCCTACTACATTTTAGTTTGATAGTAAATACTTTTTAATAATAAATAATAATAATAATAATAATGTTATATACTGTGTGTCACTTATAATTATTCTTCCTCTATTCAGCTTTTGGAATTATTTGACAGTGAGGATCCACGAGAAAGAGATTTCTTAAAGACAGTTCTACACCGAATTTATGGAAAGTTTTTGGGTTTACGAGCATTCATCAGGAAACAAATTAATCATATCTTCCTTAAGTAAGTATAATATTACTTCTTAGACAAACATAAATTATTCATACATAATTCCCTACCTATGTTATTGTATTGGGAAGGGAGGGGTGGGATGTACAGTAGACAAGAGTACTAGCATTTCATGAGATATTGTGTAGTAACTAAGAGATGGTTTTCATACTATAAGCCTGTCTTTATAGTATATCATTCTGGCTGTTTAGAGTGTTTGTCCAATTAATATATAACCACAAGTTATTTGTAATATATTCATTGCCAGATCTAGGGAATTCAAAATAGAGTTGGCCCAGGGAAGAAATTTTACAGTTGGAAAGTCTTGAACTACCTCAGTCCCACTGTGGTTGTGGCTGAAGTGCAACATGTAAGGCATTACCAACTTCTAGATGGCCTGAAATTGTTTTGAATACATGTACAATTATTTTTGTTGTCCCATTTTTTATTGTCAACCTATTGTGAACCTATGGCAAATCAAATTACCGAGCGGTTAAGTCGGTGGTGCTGCAATGTACAGCCATAATATCTGCGCTGATTCGAACGGTATGCTCACCCATGGTTCTGGTGGTGGAACAAGTCTTCTGAGATAAGGACTACAAACGATAGGCAATGTGTACACAATTTGGCACTTTAAAGAGCCTTTCGTCTTTTGAGATGATTACCCCAGTGTACTGGTACATATAGCCTCTGTTTTGGACAGACGAGAGATAGCTGGTACCAGTTTACCAGGTAGCTCAGAGAAGAAGAGACCCTTAGGGGAGCAGCAAGATATTCTACGTGCTTTGAGACATCAGCATAAAGTGCTATATAAATCAAACTACATTACATTATCAGAGAGCCCAGTCTGGCTTTTGTTCCCTTTTTACCCCTGAGTTTTCATTCATTTAATAAATATTTTTAAAAATTAGAAAAAAAAAACCTTAGGGCATTCTTTGTTGTATTATATTGAACAACCTCACCTACTGTTATAAATTCAGCTTGAAATACAGAATACATAGAACAGCATACTTCAACCTGATAAAAAAAAAATATTGGTTTGTTGAGTGGCAGAAGGATGTCAAAAATATTGTATCTGCGAAATAGCAGTCTACTGACTAATCAATGATGAGCATCAGCTTATTAATTCTAGCATCTCTCTAGGCTGTGATGTCATCCTAGGTCATTTTTTGTTCATATCCTTTAACAGTCCACAGGAAAGGCATGACGAGTTCAGTGTTGAATGATTTTACTGGTAAAAGAAATTGAGCAGGAAAATTTTCTCCTGGAAGATAATGAGTGCAATATGTTTTCAAATTCATGGACAATCTCTTAAATTTATTTTATGTCAATATAAATAAATAATTATAATGGTAAATATTACAACATTGATAATATGTTTATTCTAACCTTTACTCTAATTGGTAACAGAAAACAAAAATGATAATCGGTCAATGATGATGACGTCATCAGGGGCAAAGACCATTTGTAAATTTGACTTCGTAAAAATGGACGTTTTACTGTACAAATAAGTAAAACATTGATTGGAAAATATTGATAAAAAAAAATTACATTACATGTTTAACATTAGCCCTACAGAAAATGTGATCAAATCAAATAATCTTTATTTGTGATGTCAAACATAACACTGAAATACATGAAAATTATTTTTCTTGGCATAATAATATCTTTATAAATAAACCTAGTATATAAAGACTACTGTACAATTTATTCAAATGTTATTTCTAGGAAAGCACTGAGAAATAATCAGTTTAACATATTCAAACATTAAATTCTGACTACTTTGTCTTGCATATTCTACATGACCACAAGGGACAAGTACAGTAACAGACACATACTAATGTAGGACGAGGGATGTTTAATTATTATATAGAAACAGATGACAATCATACATAGAATTCAGGCAGTTCGTCACTGGAACCAGCGCTGATGTTAAGGCTAAAGCTAGCAGCGTCCCTGCCTTACCGCTCGGCCACTCGATTCGAATCTGTATTACAGATCAAAAATGTAATTGTATTGTATATTATTATTAAAGCATTTATATTGTGCTCTACAAAGAACACAATAAGTGGACACTAATAAATTAATTTAAAAAAAATACAAAACCGCATTGAGAAAAAATTCAAACACCAAATCAAGGAAAAAAACTGAATGTACAGTACTGTATTTGATAAAAACATGACCATATATAGGCACAACATCACTATATGGTCATCAGTTTTTTGTCAAAGAAAATTTGACAATCTGAACAAATGATATTTGCATACCATAAAACCCTGTCCAGACTGTCAAATTCTATTTGACAAATACATGTGATATGCCTAAATAAGGTCATGGTGACATCACGTCATAACCATATATAGGCACATCATGACTATATATAAAACCAGATGAAAATATTTTATCATATATATGGGCACACAACAGTTTTTTGTCAAAGAAAATATGATAATCTGGACAAAGCTTAATAATTTCAGAAAATTTAAAGCCTTGTCAGGTCACTGACAAAATCATGTGACATGCCTAAATATGGTCATGATGACATCACATCATGACCAGTAGGCACATCTTAATTAGCTTTATACAGCAGTTTTTTTTTTGTGTTGACAACTTTGGATTTTAATATGTAATTTTTTTTGGTGGCACTACAGGCTTTTCTATTTGAGTTTACAGTACCTTTAAAGTAAATTTACTTAAAAAATGTAGAACTATTTCCTTTTAACATAGTTTATTCTTGACAATTCGCATGAAATGAAGCTAAAGTATATAGTTATACCCCATGGAGAGAATCATTAGAGTTTAAGAACAGTTAATAAATACCATTGCACCAATGGACACAGAGCTTCTAGACAACCTTTATACATTAAATTCATCAAAGTCAGTGTTACATGTCAGTGTTTATCTCAAAGGAGGCAATTGCAACATTTTAATTAAAACTTTTGTGACAGGATCTAATTAGACAAATTTCAATGAGCTCGTGCTTTGGTAAATATGCCAGTTGCTTTGCCAAGCAAGAAAATATTTAGGAAATTATAGGTCATGATGAATTTGGTAGAAAAATGAAATTTGTAGTAGATTAATAATCTGTACCGTAGAGGCTCGCTTTTACATACCACAGTTATATTAACCTTAAAGTTTTACGTACACCTCATACAGATGATGACGTTATCAAAAACCCCCAAAATACTCAAAACAAAGAGTTTGTACAGTAGTATCATAGTAGGCAATGAGTGGCCCATCTACAGTATGCCTAGTATAGTTTAAGGAGGGAGCAGGTTGCCCTTATTAAATGCATGGGTAGCCACTTTAGAAAGTAGGAGGAAGAAGGCATGGTAGCAAATCAAGTAAAGTGACATGGGTAGCCTATGCAGTAGAGTTTTAAGATCATGGGTAGCCCATAGAGTAGAGCTTGTGGCCAAGAGTGTAGCCTATCTACAGGTATATTTTTAACTTTTAAAAGTGTGTATGATCAATATAATGTTTACTGAATATTTCTGTTCTTAACAATGTACAGTAATGAATTCGTGAATACTACAGTAGGTTTAAACATAAGATGTTAAAGGCTCTAAGGAACACATTACATTGAATCACATTTTTATACATTACATTTCTGTAAATTATGCCATTCATGTTAAAGTAGGCTTTAGAGGATCAGGAAATTTATGCTCGCATTGTGAATGCTATTTTTAGACTATGCTGTAGGATGCTTTGAGTAATTTAAACAGGTTAGCATCAGTGCGTCAGAGTTCACTGACACACTTGCCTGTTCTCCAGGTCTCATCTACCCTGAAATTGTATTGAATGAGAATCTAATGGAAGCTATTTTTTAAGAACAAAACATAAATGAAAGGCAGGTTTAAGCCCTGTCCAGACTATCAAATTTTATTTGACAAAAACATGTGACATGCCTAAATATGGTCATAATGATATCATATCATGACCATATATAGGCGCAACATAACTATATATGGGCAAACAAAAACATGTCACATACCTTAATTTGTTCATGATGACATCACATCATGAGCATGGTATAGGCACATGATGACTATATTGGTATAACAACAATTTTCCGTCAAAAGTAGTGTGTCACAAGTTCTATGACAAAGAATTCCAACCAATGAAATGACTGAGTGAAACTTATTTTAATTCACACAAAATTTTATATTTAATTGTCAAAACTTCTGACTATCACATGGAAAAGTAAAGGTATAATATAAATATGATACGGTAATCAATCATTTAGGCCTATCTTTTGGCCATTCAAATGATTGGCCTCTTGAGCTTTTTTACGCTCAGCCAATCTTCCTCAACTGTGGTCTACACAGTCCACCCCTCACAGTCATCCAAAATTAGCATAAGTATTTTGCATTTGCATAATTAAAATTAGCATAAGATCCAAGTAGATACTAAGTGATAAAACATATAAGCTTCATCTCTTTTATAGGCTAATATATATAGTCTTTCCATATGATAATAATAATGATAATAATAATAATAACAATAACAATAATGATAATCATCACATAATAGGAATAATAATAATAATGATAATAAAAATAGTAATAATAATAATAATAATTATAGTGATGATAGTAACTCTGTGACAGTGTGTAGACAGTGCTTCAGAACATTATACTCTATAATGTAATTGAAGACCTCTTTTTAGAAAGTAATTTTAGTTAGACTGTCTGTGTTATAATTGTACTGATAGTGCAGTTTAACCAGTTGTTATTGTTTGCAAATACATAAAATGAAATAAATGAAATGAAATGAAGTATGGCTAGTAAGCTAAAACAGGTTTAAAATATAGTTTTCCTTCAAATAAATTTACTTTCATTCAATCAACTCAAAATCTACACTAACACCTCAAAACCATTTCTTCTTTAAGATTGGCGCATACATTAGATGTCTTCTTTTGCTGACATGCATAGTGACAGTTGGCGTTGTATATGGTCAGTTTATGAATGGCTTGTCATTTGTGGCATTGTGCCAAGGATATATCGTGTGTGTTT